CGACGCCCCCCCCGGGGGCGCTACGCCCCCGCCGTTCGTCGTCCCCTGTCATCGGGAGCCCCCCTGTCCGGGCTGTCCCCATCGGGACCCCTCCCAAACAGGCTGCAGTGCCCAACTTCAACCAGCAGGTACCTCCCCTCGGCCCCGCCGGTGGCACCGAGGCCGCGGGCTGGTCCCCGGCGAGCTGACGGAAAGGGGAAACGTGCTGCTTCCCTCCTCCTAGATCCTGTGCCCGAAGCCTGTCCACATCCGAGCTACCATGCAGCAGCGTTACCCCGCTCCTTACGGCGAGAGGATGTCCCCCAACCAGCTCTGCAACGTACCGGTACCCAGCTCCCCCTCCGCACCCCTCTTTTGTTGGCGCTGCCCCCCAGAACGCCCCGTTCCCTTCTTCCCGCCTGCGACTCCAGGCCCTGATGGCGCTGGACCCGTCACTGTCACGCGCAGCCAGCCGGCTGCTCGTCTCTGCTTCCGTAGCTCGGCCCGTTTGCCTCGTCCCGCCGGGTCGGCTCCGCTCCCTGCAGCCCGGCCCGGCTCCCGGGGTTTCCTCCTGCGCCATCGCCCGCTCCCCGTCTGCCCGCCATCGGCTGCGCCAGGGGTGTGACCGGGCTCTTTCTTCCCTTCTCTTCCCCTAGAATCCCTCCCTCCTGGGCCACCCGTTCCCCCACAGCGTCTCTCCCGTCCTCACCCACCTGCAGAGAGCGCAGCTGCTGGGAGGAGCCCAGGTAAAGCCCCCTGCGCTCCCTTCCTGCCCTTCCCCGGCCTCGCCGCCGGCAGGGTCCCGCGTTTCTCTTCACGCCGCCGCGGGAGCTGGCTCCACGCGGCTCCTTCTGGCCGTCCCGGGCGCCGCTGCCCTGGCTGCCCCTTTCCCTTTGCCCCCAAATCTCCCCCCCGGCTGATTCCGGGCACCCTCTCCGTTCTTCCAGGCCGGCCGAATGTCCCCCAGCCAGTTTGCCCGGGTCTCTGGCCTGGTTGGAAGCCCCCTCCCCTCCGTCAATCCCAAGCTGCTCCAGGGCAGAGTCGGGCAGATGATGTCTCCGGCCAGCGGGTTTCGTGCCTTCTTCGGGGCTCCCCCTGCTCCACCTCCCTCGCAGCCGCAGCACCCGCCGGGCCCCGGATCCCACCTGCAGAGCCTGAGGTAGGTGCCATCCTTTTCCCGGCCGCCGACCCGCTTTCTGTAGCCGCTTCTAAGACTTCCCGCTCTCCCCCAGGCCGCAGCCCCAGATGTTCCGGCCGGACACGACTCACCTACACCCCCAGCACCGCCGGCTCCTGCACCAGCGGCAGCAGCAGAACCGAAAGTGAGTGCCGGCCCCGCGCCGGAGCCGGGAGAGGGGCTGCCTGGCGCTGTGGCGGGGCGGGATTGCATCGCCCCTCCGCCGCGGGGGGTTTGTGCTGCTGGGGCTAGCCTGTGCACCGCTCTCTGTCCCTTCCTGTAGCTCCTGTGTGCTCACGGGTGCCCTTCTTGCCTCCTGCCAGCCAGCACCGGAGCCTCAACGGCTCGGGGGGGGGCCCAGGGGGGCACCGGGGCAGCCACCCGGGGCCTCGGTGGGGGACCGAGGGGGCCACCGGAGCA